TCAGGCCGCAGCTGGAGTACTGCGTCCAGTTCTGGGCGCCGCACTTTAAGAGGGATGTGGACAGCATGGAGAGGGTCCAGAGGAGGGCCACTCGTATGATCAAGGGACAGCAGGGTAGGTCCTATGAGGAAAGGTTGCGGGACCTGAACCTGTTCAGCCTTCAAAAGAGAAGGCTGAGGGGGGAACTTGTGGCCTGTTATAAACTGGTTAGGGGGGATCAGCAGGCGCTGGGGGAGTCCCTGTTCCCCCGAGCGCTGCAAGGAGTAACCAGGAACAATGGTCACAAGCTGGCGGAGGGAAGGTTTAAGTTGGACATCAGGAGGCGCTACTTCACGGTCAGGGCGGCTAGAGTCTGGAACCAGCTTCCAAGTGAGGTGGTGCAGGCTCCCACCCTGGGGGTTTTTAAGAGGAGGTTGGATGACCACCTTACTGGGGTCATTTGACCCCAGTGCTCTTCCTGCCATGGCAGGGGGTCGGACTAGATGATCTGCTCAGGTCCCTTCCGACCCTAGAAACTATGATCCAGGATGCAGAACTGTCATCCCTGTGAGGTTCCTAATGAGTCTGGATGTTTGGCAGTGGGAGAGGCATGGCAGCATTAATTGCCGTGGTGTCCAGCCAGATAATCTTAACTGTCGTCTCTATGTTGTTGTTTATTGTTTGCAAATCAAAACAATAAATACCACTGGTAGAATGAGGTGGAAAGGCCGTCTACCAGAGCCCACTGAGGTGCCGCATTGCTGAAGGAGGCTTTAAAAGATTATTTTAATGATGTACCGTTATGTCATAATGCGTGTATGGTAGGGTGTTTGTTGTTGTGGTGGGTTTTTTTGGCTTGAATATAGCTTTTAAATGGTTTGAAATGCCTGTTATGAATTAGGTAGGAGGTGTGCTGATTTGCACTTTGAAATCTTTAGTCTTATAAGACTCAGTAAATTACGATTTTTAACCACAGGTTTTATTGAGCTATAATAAACGATGAATAGATGTGTTTTAAATGACAAAATGCAAGGTGCTGAATGCTTCCTCATGAATTGGGGTATAGTCAGTAGTTTTTGTTTTCTATTAGTAAAAAGGTGGAAATAAAGTCCAGCTTCCCTGTTACCTTGGCATGTTACATGGTGTTGGGAGCATAATATTGGCTTCTGAGATTGAGATCTTTTGCTCCATAGTTTCTGAAGCACTTATACAGGTTGCCTGAGAGGCTTCATAATATCCTGGTAGACCATTTTTATGCAATTAATTGTTCTGCTGTTCTTCCATGACCAGTGGGCAGCACAGGTTAAATTGTGATAAACGCTGTTGGGAGAATGAAGGATTATTGCCTCCGTGTCTTTTGCATTAGTGCAGGGGTTTGCACTGTGGCCTACAGGCCAGATCCACTGGCAGAGAGCCTGTTAGGCCAACAGATGTCTCATTTGATGGGAGAGGGGTGCTAATTTGTAGGTGTTGCTTTAACATGACCAGTTAGCCTCCTGTCCATATGTCCTTGCCACCAAATTTGCTGTTCTCTGTTGGCATTTGCCATGGCTTTCAGTGGCACCTGGTAAGTGTGGGGGAAGAGAAAGAAGGAATCAGAAGCCAGGCAGTAGGGGATTGGCAGCACACAGCAGCAGCTGATGATCTGGCCCACTGCTCTGAAAAAAAGTTGCCAATGACTGTATTAGTGTAATGGTTTTCACACAAACAGTGTAATGCTGGAACAGTACTGATAGCTCACTTAAATCATTCAGGGATGTCACTAAATTTTATCATACAAACCAACACTTTATCAGCATGACAGCACTGGGTGTGGTTGCATGCAGTGTTCTTTTGAGAGAAAGCAACTTTCACTGGCAAAACATTTGTAGCGCAAGACAGGCTCAAGTGCAGGGCCAAGGAGTGAAAAAGGTATGTACAAATTAAGCAACTGAAATGAGGGGCCCAAGCTATGTGATTCTGGAAACAGGGCATTGATGTTTTTTCTTAGGCTTTTGCAAGAAGGGGTCTTGGTGCCATTTTTTATCATCTGTCCAAGAAAATCAAACTTGTACACATTTGATAAATAAGCAAAAATTGTCTACTAGGACATTATGCAGCCTCTCTGGCAGCCTGTATAGGACCTTATTCCCTCCCACCTTTTCACCAGTAGACAACAAAAACTACTGACTGTACACTAGTGTTTGAATCATGGAGAAGCATTCAACACCTTGCATTTTGTTGTTTAAAACGCATCTGTTCATTGTCTGTTTATAGCTCAATAAAACTGTGTTTAAAATGGCAAAAGGCAAAGGTGTACATCTAGCTTAAAAAAGGAGTTGATGGACTTAGAGGCTAGAAGTGGTGCTCAAGTCTACAATTTATACGCTTGAAGAACTAACCTGGCAACTGCTTCTGACAGATTTGATGATTTTTACTGATATATCTAGCATGAGCTTTTATGAGCCTGACCATTTGGGTTAAGCAAACCATGTCCTCCATGCACCAAATCAACATAGCTGTGCTGACAAAACTCCTAGTGCAGGCGAGGGCATATGAATTTTTGTCCCAGTACAATTTAAAATTGACTAATGCAAATATAGACCTGCAGAGATCCAATACTTCTAAACTGGCATAGTTAAATTGGTATCAGAACTGTTTGAACTGGGTCTCAGGTTAATAAACTGGTGTTTATTTCCTTTGTTTTGCTTTGTTTTTTCCCCACAGTTCTTATTCTAGATGAAACGCAAGCACGGTGGTTTGCAGCTGACACAATAACTGAGGGCTACAGAATCCAGCCCATAGACCATGGGTGGGCAAAATATGGCCTGCTGGCTGGATCTGGCGTGTGAATTGATATGAATCTAGCTCATGGGCAGGTGCCCACTAATTGATTGGATCCTGCCCATAGCTGCCCCTGCGGTGCTCTGCATGGGGCTGAGCTTTTCCCACTCCCACCTGCGACAGCCTGCACCAGTGGCCCTGACCCCCAGCGGCCCTGACCCTAGTCAGTGCGCACAGCTTCCCGTTGGGGTTGCTGCCAGTCTGGCTGCAGCCACCCAGATATTTCTTGCCTCCCCCCCGCCACCTCCAGTGGCTCCTCTTTGTCTTCCTCCCACCCCTGCTGTCCTGCTCCAGGCAGAGGGGGAGGAAGCTTCAGCTAGATGGTGCTCCAGCTTTAGCTCCCGGCCACCTTCCTCCCATTCTTCCTACTTGGCTGCCTGCAGGTGGCTGCTCATTGCACCAGGCAGGTAGAATGGATGGGAGGCATCTGTGCACTGGCCAGGGCCAGGGTTGGGTGGGCGGAAGCATGGCAGGGTCTGCCTCAGGCAGGGCTGGACCCTAGACAGACGGGGCGGGGGGGCAGACCACAGCTGCATTCGCACTGTCCTGGTGAGCTCTGGTGCACTCTCACCCTGCCCTTTCCCTCTTCCCTCACTCCTGGCCAGTTCCAAGGACCTAGCACATGGACAGCCCCTTCCCCCCCCCCCCCCCCCCCCC